GATAAATTGCTTCAACGCTATATCTTTTTTTTCTAAAAAAATGGAATATTGTTTCAAAATTTTAAAAATCTTTTTTTTTTGTTTCCTTGAGATGTTATACACAACTCCAATCATCTGATGGCTATCTTATATATTCTAACTTTGAGCCATTAGCCTGAATAAAACGTACAACAGCTATAAAAATAGACAAAATAGACAGCCGGTTGCTGAGGAAGTAGCACAATGCTCCGATAATATTATTAAAAATTTACCAAATTTTGATTTTTTATTTTCAAATTTTGATAGAAAAAAAACTGTTGGAACGTTAAGAGGGTGTGTGAGTTAGATATAACAATCAACAGTTGTCTTGAAAAATGTATCAAAATCAGAAACAAACAAACAAATTTCTTAGATTTTTTTCAGACTTTTTTGTGTTCGTTGTAACTGTTTGAAGTGTTTTGCCTTTAAGTCATGATTCAAAAAACTTTTAAAACATTGAAGTTTAAAAAAAGTATTTAAAGTCTTTTTAAAAAAAATTCAAACAAGTAGTGAAAAAATTAGTTTTCTTTACCTGAAAAAATTCGTAATTTATTTCAACGCTTTTTCGGCAAAAAGTTTCATAGAACACAAAAATGAACTTCAAAAAAATCAAGATTTTTTGTTTGTTTTGACTTTTATACGCTTTTCAAGACAACCGTTGAGTGCTATATCAAATTCATACGCCCTTTTCAAGTTCGAAAGGTTTTTTAAATCAAAATACGAACAAAAATGACACAGTTTGAAAAGAAAAAATCGAAGTTTTTGTAACTTTTTATTAATATTGTCGGAACATTGTGCTACTTGCTCAGCAACCGGTTCTCTGATTTGTCTATTTTCATAGCTGTTGTACATTTTATTCAGGCCAACTGCTTAAAGTTAGGATGTAAAACAAATCCAGCAGATGATTGGAGTTGTGTATAACAACTCAAGGAAACCGAAAAAAAAAAGTGATTTTGTAATTTTGCACAGGCGAGGCTGCGCTTCGCAAGCACTTGGTAGAACACGACCAAAAAGCAGCTATCAAGTGAAATAGAAAAAAAGTAGAAATCAGCCTCGAAGCAGCAAAAACTTGGCTACGTGTCGGATTCGAATCTGCGGTCTAGCAAATTTGAGTCTCACACATTAACATCTAAGCTTCGGATGCATAAAATCCCAAAAAACTAGTTTTAAATATCGCAGCTACATATGCTAATAAATTGCCAATTCGACGCAGCAAAAGTAGAACCAAATACATAAAGACACAATTTTGCCTGTAAAAGCTAGGAAAACTTAAAGCCAAAGTATGTATAAGTTATGCATTTCGAAAAAAATTGCGAGATAGATAAGGTTTTTTTTTAAATTTTTGCACTGTTATTTGAAACAAATAGATTTTTTGGTTCGTTTGATGACTTAAAAAGCTTCAGCAGTGTTAACTGTTCACTAATCAAATATCAAAGCACATGATACTATAATGTTACCGCAGCCTACCGATTCAAAATTGCCACCAAAAGTAGCACTTTTATTTGCGACTCAGTTTAGAAAAAAAAGAAAGATCGTAGTAATACAATTCGCTTCGCAAGTTTAAAAACAATATTCAAAAGTTGCCGAACAAAAATGTATAAACTTGAAGCAATTTGTCTTTCACAAAATGTTCATGCTTGACTTTTTTTTTGAAAATATCTGAGTTCAGCAAAATAAAGTTGATTTTTGAAACTAGGAGTCATTAAAGTTTTTTCGAATTTCCTCGTTACGGTAAAATAACTTGCTTTCTTTAAAAGAAAGATCTCAATCGTACGAAACAAAAATCAAACTGCAGAAAAATCAATTTTTTTTCTTGGAATATTTTAAAAATTTCCAATTATTTGATTTCAAAGTAAAAAAAATATCAATTTAAAATCCTCAAGAAATGCCAAGATTGGCACTTTTTTCTTTAAAATTAACACAATTTAAGTCACTCAATTGGTATTTTTTTTATTCCGCTGAGAAATCTAAATACTAAAAACTGATTTCGGAACTAGAAAATGTCACTAAGTTTTCACGCCACTTTTGTTTTGTGATTGGAGAGCGTAATATGTCTATTTTTTTTACCAAATTAAAATGTATTGAACTCAAAAAAGGGCATGATTACCTAGTGCATTTATGAATGCATTATCATGTATGAGGTACTGCTGCAGTCAGAGCATTCCTTTGAAAAAAATCAAAAACACAAGAATAGCGCTTCATTTGTTACACTTAGAGAAACCACAAAGATTCAAAGCTGCACCTCCCTTAGAGCAAAAAAAGGAAAGAAAGGTGGAACTAGTAAAACTTCTGTTATGCCAAAAAAGAACCCTCAACCTCGAGATTCAAATTCACACGGCCTAACAACTGCAGCATGGCCACTTAACAAAAGTTAGACACTAACACAGTTCAAGCTGAAGGTACCTGATTGATAAAAAATTTGAAATTTACTGATGCGAACAGTAATCCTTAATTTTCCAAATGAGTTAAAACGCAGAAAATTGGAAGTTATCAAGTCCATAGCTGGTTCCTATCAACGTAGGGAGAACAAGCTTTTGCAGGAGTGATTGAAACACCTCGTTTTATTCAATTTCTTCAACTCAGAATTGGTAGGAGTTTAAAAAGTGCATGAAAGGGACAGAAAGTCAAATACTTCTAGTGTCAATGGTGGATTTCTTAGCAAAACTGAAAAATTTCGCTTTCACAGGGAATACTTTAAAGCTTGTATTTCCGATTGAAACTTTAATCCCGGATATGGCAACAATTGCTGATTTGCTACGGTAGTAAAAAAATTTCAAAAAGGGGATTTTTCCAAAGACCATAACGGCTTTTCTACAAAACATAGGGGGTAGCTGTTATGCAAAAAAAAGCCAGCGCATGTATTTTGGATTGAACCTTTACTCTTAGCCTTGGCAGCAAGAAAACTCGAAAACTTTCATGAAACTCAAAATGTCAACACATTTTTTGTTTCTAACTGAAAAATTATTTAAAAAAATACAGCTTAATCAGGGCAAATGTTTTATTTCGATTGCAAAAAAAACACAAAAAACTAATAATTTCAAAAAAAAATGGATTTTTGCATAGTACATCCTTGCTTTTCTACAAAGATACGGGCTGAATTGCTATGTAGGTAAAAATCCTAAGAATCTTCTTTCGATTGGACATCTTATCTCATCGATTGGCAGGATAGTTTTTGACAAAAGATGGCGAAAAACAGTTAGACAAATTTTCCAAATCCAAAACCATTTTAACACAGAGGCTAAGTTGCACTTTGCATACATAAGCAAAAATATGACCGAGAACGCTAGTGGGAACAATTAAATGAGTGAAACTTTGAATCTACATAATTTTTTAACTGTCGCACGCCAAATATGAGTTTACATATTTGCTAAATGACTTAAACCAATTATGATGCATTAGCAGTACCAGTCAATTTGCAAAAAAAATTACCAACTACTATGCCTCTATTTAAAAAGCGGACGCATTTTTGTCTAGTATACGAAAAAGTTAATTAGAAACTTCCGATCCTTCCCAGGTTCGAACCCTCTTATTTTGTTCCGGGTCTTCTTCCGTAACTCTACGCTATAGATCCAAGATACCTTGAAGCTTAAGTGCTATTTGTAAGATAATTGTCTGTGTTAATATCCTTCGCATTGGCTGTACTTATTACCTGGTTAATGAGCAAAATGAACATTTGCGACTTAGGTTGGAAAAAAGAGTTTTAGCTATCACACAAGCTTGGCTTGTGTTCATAGGACAAAGCTCCTTATGCGGGGAAAACCGTAAAACTCAAATTTTGGTTAGTCAAAAAGGCTGCAAAAATAAGCAAAGTTTCAAAAGTTGGTTATTTTCTCAAGGATAACTTTTCTTTCATCTGCAATTTAGGGCGACACTATTTAAGCAGAGAAAACGCAGAGTACTTAGGAAAATGGTTATAACTCTCCTCTCACTGAAACTTTCGAAGGCCGTAAAACGTTAGGTAGAGTAAATAAGAAACTAGCCGAATATGCAGGTACACCATTGATATCGTGTTTTTGAAAAAAGGTAAAGTAGCTCTCCAGAAAAAAAATGAAGTTCTAAAACTTTTGAAGGCATCACAAAATGATCATTGAAAGCCAAATCATATACATTTTCAGAATGGCTGTTTTTTATCAAACAGGACTTGCCACCAATAAACCAGGCACAAAAAGATAATGCTACGCAGCAAAGCTTAACTAGATATATTATGCAAATGCCACCAAATAAACGACCAGTTTTATTTGCGTCTTAGGTTGGAAAAAGGATACCGTAATTTGAAACTACGCTCTGATTGTGTAGTCACGCTCTTTATAAGTGACAATTACAACGTTCTTTTATGCAAACATGAAGATCAAATCTGTTCAAAATAGTTTGTTTGTTCACCATACCGAGTTTCAATGCAAAATGGCATTAAAAGTTTTTCAAAATTGTGCAATATTGTGTCACGTTGACAGAAAAAGCTTTTCAAAACTAAAATCGCGTATCCTAATGACATCAATATTATATACCTAATAGCCTCATCATTTGGAGCTATAGCAAATAATAATTTCACATCTCACAAGTGTTAAGGTTCAAGATTTCAAATAATTGCTGAGAGCAAATAAAGTTCCAGTTCGGTAACTGCATTCTTATCAATTTTTTTCTGAATTCCTCGAACTTTTGCTTTCATCCAATTGCCAACTTTCGATTCAATAGAAAGTGGTTCACAACACGAGCAAAAACTAACTAGCATGTAAGGCGACTTATTGCTGGCTGCGCTTCTTTTAAGAAAATCGGATAAGATTCAATCAATAAGCGATTACATAGTTTAAAGGTAAACACCCACACTGCCGTCATTTGGTTTCTTTTTGCCTCCGTTCTTTCATTTAAATCAGTCAGATGGTTCTCCATGAATGCATTTAGCAAGGCTTAAATGGTACATCACAACTGTTCAATATTCCCTGCGAGCTCACGGATTGGATTTAGAGCTTATGGCATTGAAGACGCGGTATACAAAAATAGATTGAGGGAAAACGAAGAATATAGAAACTCCATAAATAAGGGAAGAAGAGTGCTAAAAATTACTGGGAAATCAATTGCGATATTGTAATACTGCACTTCTACTAATTAAGAATTTGCATATCTAAATTTAAATCAATTTTGGATAATTTCATCAACAAAGAGCATGACAGCTCCTCGAAGATTTGAGAACTTTTTCTAATTTACTAAAATTGCAATTCTGTTTAAAATTTACAGATTTAAGTAGCTTGTATGAACATTTCCGGAAAGATTTGCTTCTTTTTATTACAAAAGATGGGAATAAGATTCCCGGGAATAAGATTCTAATTGCATGATTTTGAAGTGAATTAACTGCTTTGCAAATGCGCAAGGATATATCAAGAGAGTTTTTCACTGGGGAGTCTTTGGAAATATTGCAGCTGCATTGGTGATTGCGTATAAATTACGATGTGTAGAAGAGGATTCGCTTTGGCGACTTCAGATTGATATTGGTTCTGACCAATAACTTCATTTGAATCCTTGAAGAAGTGTTTGATGGCTGCTAATTAGCAAACATGACTAAGCCCACACCTAAACCGCAACTCAATTGATAATCAGATATAAAAAAGCAAACAATATGAAACATTAAAAAGACTATCAACAGATTTTTTAACAAAGTTTTTTGGCCAATATTTTGAGTAAGAGAACAAAACCAACTTAAAAACCTACACCCTAGCACACATATAAATCAATCTTTAGTGTATTCACTGTTTTTTAACAATTTCGTTTCTTTATGTGCGTGCATATATTGCCTTTATATTTTGAAAAACGCAAATTCTGATTGGCTGAAAAAGACATCCCAAAAACGTTTCCAACCAAGGAAATCATGACAAGCAAGAGCTACTACTAACCCTGAGTGTGTGGTCCCAGGAGCCTGTCATGAGGGCACACCCGTCCGGTGACACTCCCAGACAGGACACGCGATTGTCGTGACCGAACAGGATGGCGATGCGGGATCCCTTTAGGGTATCCCACACATTCACCGTGTAGTCATTGTAGCCCGCGAACAGCACACGGCCTACACACAGGACAAACCAATTTATAGAGCAAGTCTTCTTCAAGAAATTTTGTTGTGACAACTTTTATTGGCAATCACATAAGACAACAGGTTGAGTTAATGATTTTCGATTTTTCAATGTCAAAGTTTCGACTGAATAGTAAAGATGAAAAGCTAACACGTTACTCAAATCATGTTAGCATAAAAAGCATACAATGAACATGTTCACAAAATACTGGGTCTGAGCTTTTAAATTACTTTTACAAAGGCGTTCAAGAGAAATCCTACCACTGAGAGAGAAGTCGAGACATGTGGCTGGGAAAATGATGCTGTCCTTGGCGAAGCAGTTCACCTCCCGGTCTGCCCTGAGGTCAAACAAGCGACAGGTGGCGTCATCGGAGGCCACTGCGAATGCATCTCCACTGGGGTAGAACTTAACACAGTTGATGTCCGCCTCTGGCCCCTCAAATGTCTGCACCGGCTGACCAGTTCTGGTTCACATAAAATCAAGAGCTTGATTTTGATCAGATGAGAAACCAGTTCAGTCTAATATATGAAGCGAGTTAGACATCTCCATCTACAGGGTTAAAACAGCAGGATACTCAAGAACTAGCAAAGAGGACTTCGAATTACGTTACCCCTGAAAAAAAATCTTGAAAAAAATCGAAGTGCTTTCAAGAGGGCCCCAATGGTGTTGAATTTGGCGCCATGGTCTTACCGATTTTGTAAACAATATTGGAAAATTGTAGGAAACAATATATTTGGTAAATAAGCCGACGGAATTAAAGCCGGCAGTCAATAAGCTGAAATTCAACCGCAAAATTTTGGCTAACTTAAATTGATTAAAACATGTACTGCCCACATAGCATCCACGAGTGCCACATATGTACTGAAGGGAAGAGGGTATAGACATTTCGGGAACTAAACCGAGAGCTTAATCGACAACAATAAAGACAAAAAACCATCAGCCAAAAATACCGAAATTCTAAAAATATACATGCAACTAGATCTATTAAAATGTATCAAGATGGCTTTACAAAAAATCTCCAGACAACAGAATGTGAAACTAGCATCGGAATAAAACATACCAGGCAGAAACAAAGCCGAAAATATCTGAGCAGAAACCCTTCAGCCCATCTCCGTCAAAACACGCACACGTTCACAGAAAAGTTTTCGCCCATCAAAAGGCGCAAAGTGAGGCCATTAAGCCGATACAAAAACATAGCCAACTGAGTTGGAAAAGAGTAATGAACGCAAGTAAACAAAAAAGAAAACACTGACTTTATTGAAAAAAATCTCAACTTTCGAATTTCAAAGAAAAAATAGATACCCTTTCCGCTCTTTGAATTTCTAGAACAATCTATGATTGGCGCTTTTTTGCTATTATTAACCCAATTTGAAAAAACTCAATCTGTAAAATTTTTATTCCGCCGGAGATCTAAAATTAAATTCCACTTTCGAAACTAGAAATTGTTCACGTTTCTTCGCCCTATTTCCACGCACGTTCGTATTTGGAGAGTACTATTTGCGTAACTATTTCAATTGAAGTCAAAAAGTGCATATATACCTGAGTGCATTCATGAATGCATTAATAAGTATGAATGCACATATGTAGTTCATAGAGCATTTTAAGACTTTTTCCTTAAAAAAGTCACCAAGATCTATATACGAGTCTTGACTACGTTCATTAATCGTAGTAGGGTGAAACCAATTAAGCCGAAAAAAGGATAAAACGTTTAATAAAAATTTAAGAAATCGAGTTAACTCAAAACAAGCTTAACATTGCAACCGAGAGGAGTAGGATTTGCAACAAGGACAAAGAAATGAAAGAGTCCAGGAATGAGTCATGTGAACAAAGTTATTTACGGGAAAAAGTCTAGTACGCGATTGCAATACCCTTGCTTATCGCAAGAGTAATCAAGATGAAACATGCTTTTGCTCAAGAGCGTGGTCATTAGTAAATTCATCCCACTCTCCCTCTGCTTGTGCTGACCTGATGTCCCATACTATGGCCATCTTGTCCGCACCTCCAGACACGAAAGTGTAGCCTGTCTCTGCTGGCGAGATGTTCACACTAGTCACATCTGCCTGGTGGCTGTTGAACACCTGCATCTGTTTACAGCTCTCCACATCCCACAGTGCCAGAGTACTGTCCCCACTACCAGTCAGAATCTACACAAACACAAACGTCCTCATAATAAACATTGATCACGCATTTACCAGTGTTATCATTCACTCACTTTCCTCGATCTCATTTAAAGACCCTTATTTGTTTGCAAGTTCGAGAAGCTTTGATGTAACTTCTTCTATCGTCAAGAACTTCAAATTCTAATAGAACATGTTTCGTTTCTAACAGGTCATTACGACTGTGATCATATATTGCAAACTGGTAGCTGACCTGGTTGTCAGAGTGGTCGAACTGACAGCAGGACATGTATCCTGTATGCACAGCCACAGTTCTCTTGGTGGCGCTCACATCTTCTTCCATGCTCAGCTTGTAAACATGACACTTGTTGTCCAAACCTCTGCAACAAATTGCACTCACGTACGTTTTCTTTGAAACAATCGAATATACAAAAATAAACAACAGAAACCGAAAGTTTCAATAAAATTGAACTTTTTTTGCAACTTTCGCAGAGAAAATAGTTCACCTTAAAGCTCTTTCAATTTCAAAAATATTTCATGATTGTCACTTCCGCGTGTAATAAAGGGAAAAGGTCAATAAAATCATATAAGCCAGGCTATCAAATGATTCAACTGATTTTGTTAAATAGTTGTTATCCTAAATAAAGTATTTATCTCGATTTGATAACGCTTGCTAAACGCATGCGTAATAAATTATCATAAGTTAAGGTACCCGTTAAAAATGAATCAGACAGAAAACATAGATGAGGTTAGATTGACATCGAGGAATTTGTTAAGAGCGGTTTAATGACCTATGATATCTATGGCAAACTTCAAGTTTCTCCTTAAATACCGTGAAAACGACACGATTAAAATGAGTGAACATTATCTTCGTTCTTAAGCCTTCAAAACAATAAGTTGAATTCGTTTTTAATTATGATACAGAGGCGAAGCTGCACTTCTCAAACACAAGCGAGAGCACGGCAAAAAGCAGCTCTAGAGTTTAAAAAAAGTGCAATAGGAAAAAGAGAAAAAAGCCTCGAATTGGTAAAAATTCGGCGACGTCTCGGACTCGAACCTACCTACTGCGACCTAGAAATTATGGGTATCAGGCCCTAATCACTCAGCCACAGACGCTCAGCCCATCACAAACACTAGCCACAAATAAAGCCGAGAACAGATGCTGAAATTTCCAATTCTCCAGATCGTGATTATAGCAAAAAGGCGCAGATGTAAACACTTTTAATAAACTTTTATTTGGGAGTTAGGTTAAAAAAAAGTTCGTACTGAAAAACTAGCTGCTCGCTAGCGTAAACAACGAGGTCAATGTAAAACAACACATCTAAATTTCACAATAATCATGACCTGCAATCTGCAGATCCAGGTTTCTTTTATTTGAAAGATACATAAAACAAATGTCATCAAAGTATAATGACACTTTAAGCTTATGTGCTCAGCTTAAGCTGAAGGCACATGCCCTGTTTGATATTTTTAAGAAAATTTTCTGATGCAAAAAATATGCATAATTTTTAAAATGTGTCAAAATTTCAAAAATTAGTCTATTACCAAGTTCAACGAAGAAAGGGGTTATCAACGGAGAAAGGGCTTTTGCATGGGGAGATCGTTTAACATCTTCATTCGATTGATTTCTTAAGTTCAGAATATTCATGGTCGTTTTTGTGCAATTGAACGAACTCCAAAAAAAATCTCCAAAATTTGGGGATTTCTTAAGTCCATAGCAGATTCCTAAATTTGGAATACCAAAATTTGGAGAGTTCATGGGATACCTATAAAATTTGTTGATCTTTTCATTGAACCCTTAATCTCGAACTTGTCACCGTAATTTTCGAGAAAATCAAAATTGCTGTTATACAAAAACTAGCGCGTAGCCGCCGTGGGGAGATAAATTCTTTCGATGAAAAACTTAATCTGAGATTTCGCAGGGTACTTTTCAAGTCAAATTGTTTTTAAAAAACGACAGAACGAACGTTCTTCAAGTCAAATTGTTTTTAAAAAAAGACAGAACGTTCTAAGTACGAAAACTAGATTAAATGTCAAATTATAAACACTTCTGAGGTCCTTTTCAGACTTTTTGCCTAATTTGGGGGAATTCGCTTATTCAGGGGATACTGTTACAATTAGTTCTTTCGGGTGATATCTTGATCTCGGCTTTGGCATCGTAGTTTTAGAAAAAACCATTAAGTTCCAAAAGACGCTCATTATTTCAAAACATGGACTTTTCCAAAGACCAACATTGCTTTTCTATATAAATAAAGGTGTAGCCGCTAAGCAGAGAAAATTTCCAGATTTCTTTCGATTGAATCCTTGGTCTTAGATATCGCAGCAGTTTTTTAAAAAAAATTAAAAAAATGGCCGATACTTTTTTAACGAAGTTCCAATATGGGAAAAATCCACATTATGGACAATTATTAGGTACATCGCATATTCCTTACTTAAATGGAAGAATACCTTAAGCAGGGGATACGCATTCAAAACACCTTCGATTGAACCCTTAATTTGGCACTTGCGTTTTGGAGAAAACAGAGAAAAAAGGAAAAAAGGGTCAGCATTTCAAAAATTGGAAATTTTCTAGTGATAATTTTAAAAATTAGGTCGCAGCCGTTTGTACAGCGACAACTCCTAGCACCTGTTTTTATTGGCTGTACGCTTAATTACAGATTTGGCAGGGTAATCTTTGAGCAAATGTAATAAAATCTTTAAAAATGAGTATTTAACTTCGGAGGCCGTAGAACCTTGAGTACGATAATAAATGACTAGCCGAAAATGCAGGCACACAGGGGAGCAGCCAGTTATTCCATTGGCACTACTTTTTTGGCAGAAAAAAATTCTGAGAAGAACAGAAGTTTGCGAAAACTGCAGCGTCTGAAAAAAAAAAATAAAAGTATAGACGGTTGCTGTTTAAGTTGCACAGAATGTTCCGACCACATTCGTAAAAAAAATTGAGAATTTTTTTTCCATTTTCATTCTAGTATCGTTTTTTGGGCGTGACAACATAAGAGGGTCTGGACATAGATTGCAATAAATAATCTGCAATATAAATCTCTATGTTTATAGAAGGGAGAAACGCACAACTTGTGATATTAAAACGAAAAAGACTCAGTCTTTGAAGATCGCAATATAAGAATAGAACTGTTTTCTTTGAACGGCGCGTTTGCCAACTTTAAAAATCGTCAAAAGAAGAAATACAATGACAATTGCATATTTTGTCAAAGCCAGAATACCAAGCATTTACAACAGAATTGCTAAGATAGAGCTTTTGATTGAATTGAGTTTTGCTGTATAATGGAGCAATGACGCTGCTAATTTTCTTATATTCCCGTTTAATTTTGTTAGGCTTCAGTACCTCGCAAATTGATATACTCCGTACCAAGGGCGGATCTAAGACTTTCTCGAGGTGGGGGGGGGCGGATCCAGGATTTTCTCGAGGTGGGGGGGGGGGGGGCGGATCCAGGATTTTCTCGAGGGGGGCGGAATTTCAAAAAATTTTCGAAAATTTTGACGACCTTTTTTTTAGGTCGACCAAATTGACTTTCCGAGCTCTCCTGAAACATTAAAAAAGACTCTGTTTTGGTCAAATTTTCTGACCCACAGGCAAAACTTTGAAAAACAGCACAAAAAAGACGTTTTTGGGCAATTTTTTTAAAAAAAATTTTGACAAAAAAATCGCGTTTTTTTTGGCGCGCGCTCCCCTTCAAAATTAGTATATATTGGCGCCAAAGGCGCCTTTAGAAAAATTTTAGGGTCGGTCGGCCAAAAATGGATTTCTTAAAAAGTACTAAAGGGGGACCCTTTGGATCCCCACCCCCCCTAAATCCGCCCCTGCTCCGCACACAGAAGACCCAGACAATGAGACCAAGATCCCACTGAGATGTGATCACCTCATTGGGTTCGCCTGAGAGCTGATATTTTGGAAGCAAGCCGTAGAAATTGACATATTGAACGACTTATAATTTGGGTTGTCCAATAAAAATATGAACGTTGCCTCATTACTAACAATAAGGCGAATCTGAGCTTCGCGCCACTTGCGATACAAAACAAGAAAAAAATTAAATAGGTCGAAAAAAACTAAATCTATCAAAAGGAATAAGACTAGTTTTGAAACAAAAACATGACAAGATATTAAATGTTAAACAAACATCAGAAGATGATGTACCCAATACAAACAGATTCCTTGTCAGAAACCCTTTAAGCCGATAAAAAAATCAACAAAACTTCAGACTTCTGAAAAGCTAATACATCCACCTCGCCTTTAAAGACACAAACACTAAAAACACTTTATTTGCTCCTCAAATGAAGCAATATGAGGCCACTTAGCCAATATAATATAAGCCTAAAGCTATTAAGCCTATAAAAGGGAAAATAAAAAACCCGAAAAAAGTTCAACAAAAATTAAGACTAATAAGAGTTATTAAGTCCCCCTCAACCTCAAAACACAGACACGCACACACAAAACTTTTTTCGCTCGAAGAAAAACGCGATATGAGACCAATTAACCGATATAATATTAGCCAAAACCTATCAAGCCGAAAAAAAAAAGAAAAAAAAAGCCGGGAAAAAAATCGTAATCATGAAAAACTCGAATTATAACTCTATTAAAATTTTCAGTATTTAGTGCAATCCAGGTGAGTATTAAAACTGTTTCCAAGAAAACGACTCTGAACTAGTTCACAAAACCGATAAAACTCAAGTCGAAACTATTTAAAACAAAAAAAAAGAAAATATATGAAGTCATGGTTAGGAAAATAACAAACAGCAGACGTTAATCAAAACACTAAAACCAACTACAATTCACTTGCGTACAGCAAAAAAAAACAAATCTTCAATATGGCAACTAAGCCGACAAAACATAAGCAGACAATAATAAACCGACATTTTTTTTGAAACGGACTATTTCCCAGATTCGAACACAGGACCTTTGTCGTACCAGGCGGGTTCCTTGCCGTTAACTGCCTGCATATATTTTTTTGAATTTTGAAGTTTTTCACTCCCAAAAAGGCGCTACACGTCGAACACTAATATTACTGGAGTTAAATTGGGTTTTCAGGGCTTGACTTTTAAAAGTGGCTTGTCCTCCTATAATAAGCCTGCTGCTCGCTCAAAATTAGACTAAAAATCAAAAAACTTTGAACCGATTTTCTCGACACTGATAAAACTTGAAATTTCAAATCACGGCAGAAAGGGCTTCAATATGATATAACACATGAGTCATTCCGATTCTTTTTTTTCTGATTTTGCGAGTAAAACAAAAAAGTTAAATCACACCCGATGACAAAAAGTTCCTCTCTATTTGCAATGGTTAGAACACAAATCCATTTCCCATACCTTTTCAAACAGGAACTTATTTGTGTGGAAACAATATAATTTGGATACTTGCCCACAAGATACCAAAGATCCAGATGGTGAATATGCACAAGCCATCACCCATGTAGTCGGCATTGTTACGGCATGTTTCTAAAGTAAAAGACCCCAGTTCATTTCAGTTAATGCCTATGATATCAAACAAATTTTTTGTTATCAGAAGTACACAGTAAGTTTTAGGTAAAATGAAACTTGACACAAAGAATGAAATTGAAACTAATTGGAGGATATTCGAGCTGTTTCGTATCATGTGAAATAACCCAATTAAATCGTTAAAATAATTCCATTGAAACTGCTTCCGTTATGTTAATACCTTATTGGTAGTGAACGCGTCCCAGACTAGCATTTTCCCGTCCTGTGAAGTGCTCACACAGTGCCTTCTGTCTGTGCTCCAGTCCATGCTCAGCACTTTTCCCTGATGACCCTTCAGCAGACGACGCACCTTCATGTTTAGATTGGTGACCACTTCCAGTTTAGCAGCTGCTGTTGTTACTATGGACAAAGATAAATTTAAGTATCCTTTCGACATTGAACATCAGGATGATATTTTTCGATAGACCTATGAGACTAGACAGGTGATAGAAAGAACTACTGTTAAAAACAGGCCCCCTTACTCGTACGCATGTAATAAGTGATGTATAAATTATGAACTTCAAAAACGAGTAAAAAATGTTTGATCTGACATCCAACTGACGGGAAGGCGATCTACAATAAGACAACGGTTCCAGAAATGCCGCCTTCAAAGTGTGGACCCGACGCGCTGTTCATTCAGTCGCAAATGGCACTACCATACCTTCCCCATCGGGGCTAAACACAAAACCACACACAGAGGCGAAGCTGAGCTTGGCGCCACTTGCGATACAAAAATGAATGACTGTGATTAAAATCAAATCAAATCTTTAAAAAAACCTTCAAAAACTGTTTTGTCATACAAACAATCTAAAATAGCCAAAAATTTGCAGTTTACGAAATAAAATCAGATTCCGACAAAAATAAGCAGACGAACGATAAAGCAATAAGCAGACGAACGAAAAAGCACTAAGTTTGCAAAAACACAGGTCCCGACCGGATTCGAACCACAATTCTTTACCGCGCCAAGCAGGTCTATTACCTCTGCGCCAGGTGCTTGATTGATTTTATACTTTCTAATAAAGAAAATAAATGAGTGAGATTATGATCCAAGAGGTGAGTCCTGTGAACAAAGATATTTACGGGAAACAAAAAAAGTCTAGAACCCGATTACAAAACCCTTGCTTATCGTAAGGGTAAACAAGATAACTCTTCTAGTAGACAGGTCATCCAGTGGACGAAAAACTTTTTTTTACTAATCAGAATTGACATAAGAAAAGCAACCGTACGCAAGAATAATAACTTCGAATTTTCGTCAACTCATAAAAAACCGCATATATTGGAAACAAAATCTGCATCCTTCGACTGTAACACGATGGAACCCAATTACAGGGTTGGTAATTTCATATAAAGTTATGTTGTTTATTCAAATTCAATTTTAATTCAATTTTTTTATTCAAAAACCATAAAACTTAGTGAAATATTTTACATCTAAAAACTGTGAAACATTTTAAAATGACATCAAAAACGTCACATCTGGGAAAATAAAAGCCATTGAGCGGGACGCATTTGGACGCAAGATTTGCAACTCCCGCCAGTATTCTCACAGTACCCAACTACAGCGTTGAGAACTCAAAAACTATAAAAAACTGAGCATTCATATTTGAAGACGATTTGCAACGCTTGAGAGTACTCTGAAAGCCCAAACTACAGGGTTAGCAATTCCAAATTTTGAAGAAAATAATTTAAATTTTCAGAAAAAAACTACAAAAAACATCAAATCTTGAAAAGTATAAGGATTTCAGCAGTCATATTTGGAGGCATTTCGCAACTCCTGTGAGCACCCCGACAGACTCGCTATAGAGATGTGGACTTCAAATTTTGAGAAAGTTTTTCACAACAAAGAGATAACAAGCAAAAGAGATAACAAACGCCACATCTCAGAAACTAAGAGCATTTAAGCAGACTTGCAAACTGAAACGCCTGAAAGTACCCTCAAAGTACCCAACTACAAGGTTGGGAATTTCGCACCTTTTGAGCTCGAAAATCTAAGTTTTCTTAAAAGTTAAAAGAAATCATAAAACACGTCAAATCTTGAAAACTAAGTCATATTTTAAGGCAAGAGTTTCAACCCCTGAAAGTACCCTGGCAGCGCCTAACTACACGGTTGAGATTTTTAACGTTTATGATTATTTTTTAAGTTTTTTGAAACTTTTGAAAAAATCAAACAAATGGTCGTATCTAGTGAAATAAAAAAGATTTGGGTAATCAAATTTGAAGGCCAAATTTGCAACTCGTGGAAGAACCCTAACAGAATCCCACTATTGGGTTGCTAAGTTCAAAATTGATGAAATAAACCTTAAAATCAAACGGGAAAACCGAAAAAAAAATCTTAACCATTGCAACGTACATTATAGATTAAACGTGCAATTGTTTATTACCCTGTGATTGAAGTTTTATTACACCGAGGTGAAACTGAGCTTCTCACCACTTTTGCTACAAAAATGAATGACTATGCTTAACATTAAATTAAAAGACAAAAGTAACGGCACCATTAGAAAAATTACATGGAGCTTTCGGAAAGCCAGAAAGAAACCGAATTTTCAAAAACAGTCCTTTCAGCGGCACAAAGTCAACAAAAAAGCAGACAGACAATAATCTCGCAGAATATTTCAAGTTTAAAAAAAAACAGGTCTGGAGATAAATCAAGCTCTCGGGCTTTGTCGTCGCAAGCATGGGTGTAAGAGCAAATTGGAACAACTCTGAATATTCAAAAGTAGTCGGAATACGAGAACTAATCAGACAAAATATACAGGCAGACGATAGTCCGAAAAAGAACTCGTTTGAAAAACAGTTCCCGATCGGATTCAGACTACAAACCTTTCCTGTCTCAAACAATTGTTACCTCTACAGCAGATACTTGTTAGAACTTCAATTTATAATTACCAAGCGCTAACAAAGTCGAAAATACCTGAGCACAAACCCTTCACACCAAAAACAAATTCTAAGCCAAGAAATCGATTTTAAATAAGCCGAAAACCATTTTTAAAAAATTCCTGGCAACGAAATGTTCTTGAATAATAATAATAATAATAATAAACAAGGATTTAGACATAAAGTCATGGGGCTAAAATGCCCCGCATTGGGAGTTTTAAACTGAGTTTTATAGTTTCTTTGAGTTTACACAGCTATTGCAGCAGTTTATTCTCCATGTGCATGGGACACTTTCCTCATATTTACTGATGAAATATATCCAGAAAACGTTTTTGAGGCTTGATTTGAGTCTTTCGTATTTCATCGCAAACAGGTCTTCTTCTTCCTGAGTCTGTAAAATTTTGTTTGCTAGTATAGGTGTTCTGTGCCAGAAATTGCTTTTCGATTTTTCGTAATGATAATTTTTATGCGCTAAGTTATTTTTCGTTGATCTTCTTGTTGGGGCTGTAGATTCTTTGAACTGAACAAATTGTCTCCAATGGAAGTTGTATTGGTCGTTTATTATTTTATGAAATTATTTTGTAAATTATTTAATTATAATTTACAATCGACATAAAAAACACATACCGATTAAGCCGGATATTTTAAATGCTAACATGCGCGAAACATTTTCTGTTACAACAGAGAGGCCCAGTAGATGAAGGAGTCCAGGAAAGACACCTAAGGAGGAGGAGTCCAGGAAAGACAAAAGAGGTCTCCTCCTCCTTAGCAAGTGATTCAACTAGTTGTTAGCCCAAAAAAGTATATATTCCAGTTTGACAACGCTTGCTTATCGCAAGCGTAATAATCTGAAATGATATAGGCTGGTGAAAATTCTTTCGAATTTTCCAGAAAAGTCACGACAGTTTCCAGTCTAAGTGAAATTTAATCGGTAGTATTTTAGATTCAAGATTCGTATTTAAGAAGGTGAAGGCACGATTCTTAGCACGATTCCATTCCCGTGGGCAACCGCACAAGTCTATTCCAATACTACTTTTACTATATGGAAACTAGTTATTTTTTGTTAACCTATTTATTACACCTGTAACATTTCTTCCTTTTACAGTTAAACGTTCTTCTTTCAGTAAAGTTCTTGTAAATGCTCTTGTATTTCTTGTTTCAGTAAAATTTCTTGTTTCAAAAAAATTACAGTAAAATGTTCTTGTTTTTGTAAAATAATTCAGCAACCGTATTCACAACAAACACAGGTTCCTGATAGATACCAGTCAAAAACATTTCCTACTGCGTGTAACAATACCTTCATGAAATTTTAAAAAATATATATATATTACTTACGCTCAACATCGTTCAGTTTTTGTTTTTCCTCGGATAATTTCTCTTTGAGTGTTTCAATTTCTGCTCTTAGCTCAGCAACAGTTTCCTCATTGCTGCTGTTTAGTGTCCCTTTTGCCATCATCAAAAATTTCTGAAATATTTGTCATAGTCAAGTCAAGTCAAGTTTTTATGACCATTAGGCAGTGCCTCTTGTAGTAGTAGTAGTAGTAGTAGGGCTTTTGTGCTCGTAGCACAAGGGGTTTCCCCCTTTCAGTTATTCGTTCTATAGTGAAGTTTTGCTTCTACAGTCATTCATTGTGCAATCGCAAGCAATTCTCCATGTGCACTTGTTCATTTGTTCGTAGTCCTTCTCAAATTTTCTCCAAAATAACCACAATATTCGCTTCTTCAGTCTGCTTGTTTCTCTCACGTCAATTTTGATCACATTCGCTAGCCGACATGTTTGGTAAAAGAATTCGTCCTCCAAAAATTTCTTTTTCGGCCTCTCGAGCTGGTCATCTCAAATGTTTTTACCTATCTCCGTTCGAATTCGTACATGTCAATTCCAATCGCTTTCCAATGTTTGTCCAGTTTTCACTTGAATTCGTCGATGGTCTTGCTTTGCACTGTTTCTTGTGGCAGATTGTTCCAGTCGAGAGGTGCTCTAATCGTGAAGAAATTTTTTCGCATTTCTAGATTTGCTTAACGTATAATTAGTAGCAAAAAGTTCGGACAGATAGATTTAATTAAAACTAGCGTTTAACGCACCTCCCGTGCTTCGAAATTTTTCGACAACTCATGAAAAACCGCATATATTGCAAACAACATCTGCAAACTTTTAGTATACTCTGACTGCACCCAATTACAGGGTTGGTAATTTCGAACTTTTAAATTTTTTTAAATTCCCATTTTAAAAGCGTCATCTCGAAAACTTAATAAGCCTCTGGAGAAATTTGGAAGCCAGATTCGCAACCACTGAGAGTCCCTGAGAGCAGCCTACTATCGGGTTAGGAATTCAACATTTTGTGAATTTTTTAAACCTCAGTTTCCCGAACAAAAAATTGAAAAAGAACGTCTTATCTCGGAAACTAAAAGAACTTGAGCATTCATATTAAGAGGCAAGAGTTGAGACGCCAGGGTGTACGCTAACAATAAAGTTGTATCTTCATCGAGTTAGTACTTTCAAATTTTTTAAATTTCTTTGTAGATAAATTCTTTCAGAAATTTTGAAAAAAATCAAAAAATGTCACATCTCGGAAGCTAAAAGCATTTGAGCATTCGCATCTAGCAGTCGCATGTGGCAAGATTTGCAACTCTTTAGAGTACCCTGACAACACCGAACTATAGCGTTGGGAATTTCAAATTTTGAAAAATTATTAATTTAAACTTTCTGAAAATTTTGAAAAAATCTCCAAAATAGTCACATCTCGAAAACTACAAAAAATTGAGCAGTCATATTTGGAGGCAAGATTCGCAATCCTTGCAAGTACTTTGACAGGACCTAATTCCAGGGTTGGGAATTTCAGATTTTAAAATAATAACTTAATTTTTCAGAAAATTTTTGACAAAATCACAAAAAAACGTCATATCTCGAAAACTACAAGGATCTGAACAGTCATATTTGGAGGAATGATTTGTAATTCCTTAGAGTACTCTGACAGTACCCAACTACAGGGTTGGGAATTTCATATTTAAAAAAAATAATAATAATTTAAGTTTTCTGAAAATTTTTGAAAAAAAAATCACAAAAAAGTCACGTCTCGAAAACTTGTAACATTCGCCCAAATACTACACAGCGACGGAGCGTAGAAAAAGTACCTATTAACGACTGGCAGGCGTCAGTTACCTTAATCCTACTCGTTTTTCACCGTCTCGACCTTGCCAACTGATTTTCTGGTCTGTTTAGGGCTAAGTAAAAAGTTACTATTTTTAGGCCATCAGTCAAACGACTTTTGATCAGCTTTCGTTTACATGCGAACACAACCACATAGCTGAGTCTCGGATCCTCAGACTACGTGATTGTCATTAAAAACACGGCTCGAACGACCTATTTTAACATGTTTTTGTGTGACAGTTCTATATTTATACAGCTCGCTTCCTACGCGTTCCGCTACGAGTGGCCTATTCGTCATACCGAACACGAGGAAATTGAAAACTGACGATAACTTCTTTGTACGAGCTCCCCGTGCTGCCAATGAACTTCTGCGTCTGAAAATTATATCTTTCGACATGCCCCTGGGAATGTTCAAATCAAAACTGAATACATTTTTACTGCTTAAAACTTCAACTTTGTTTGATATAAACAGATCATGCACATTCTTTGTCAAATGTTTTTGTAAAAATTGTCGATCGTAAGTTCATTCAATATTTATATTAACCCTGTATCCACCAATGGAATTAAAGTCTTTTACTACTACTACTACTACTAAATCCATTGGAGATGGATTGACCCTTTCCTCTTTCTAGCTACTCATATTCTAAAATATCAAGTTACACCGGTGTTAATTTAAAGTTTCTTGACATCCAAGTAGCTATACAGTCAGTTTTATACAGTCCCCTCACATAAAACAGTCTCTGGGGGACCAAGCCTCCGCTCCCGTAATATTCCTGCGATAACGCTCTTATCTCTTCTAATTTGCGTCCCGGGAGGGTTCCGTGGAATATTCCTTCCCCACCGAAGCTTCCTTCTCCACTAATATCCGCTGATAAGGGTCTTATCGTGCGTTGCTGCCACGATAAGAGGCTTCGTATTCTCCGTCTCTTGCACGACTGTTTTTCACAATATTTGTCGTCGTTCTTATTTTCCTAGTTCTTCTGGTCAAAATGGCCGTTTTTCGTATTTCTGAGAAATATCAACTTGAAAATCGAAATTTTAAAAATAAAAAATTTCAGAATACTTCGAGCCTCTTTTCAAGCACTTTTTTGCTGTTAAGGCCTTTTCTCTCTGATTCGTGTTTCGTCGGAAGGTTGCGCTGTGCCATCTGGCAGAATGGCACAACTACAAGGATTTGAGCAGTCATATTTGGAGGCAAGACTCGCAATCCCTGATAGTACTCTGACAGTACCCAACTACAGGGTTGGGATTTTCAACGTTTGTAAATTTTGTTTTCTGAAATTTCTGAAATATTTTGGTAAAAACTCAAAAAATCGTCTTATCTCGTTCACTAAAATGATTCGGGCACTCAAAAATGGACGTCAAATTCACAACCCCTAATTTGATATTGGGCTGCTTAATTCAAACTCGGTAAAAAAACCACTAAAATCAAATTGGAAAATCGAAAAAAAATTCTTAACCATTGCAATATACGATATAGCCTAAACATGCAAAAATAATACGTTGAAAAAGTTTAAACATGGTGAGATAGTGAAGCCCGCATTTAAATATATAATAGATGAGCAATCAGTGCTTTTCGACGCTTTTTTGCATGCAAAATCTAAAGCCGAACAACCTTGAATTTTTCGTCTGGCCAAACTCAAAATGCGAGATCGTCGGATATCCGAAGATTATGCTAGCCTAATTTTTAAATACTGCAATGAACATCCAGATTTTACTGAAAAAAATTAGCAAAATTAGTTAGAAACCGAAACACAGAAAAGAAAACAGATTAGGCCGCACCAAAAAAAAACAAACGGCAGTGAAGATGATCAAATCATTTTAATTTTGGAAACTAATCGCAGAAAAACAATAGCCATCCTGAGCAGCAGTTTTCCTGTTTCAAGGTTTACTATTCGACGCTTTGGATGCAATTGCCCGCCGTGGTTATAATTTTCGAGCAAAACTCTGCTTTATGAACTTTCGACGTTATGTTTATTTCAGTTTTAATTTCCGTTGATATCTAGACAGTTGCTCTTTTTAATTAATTCTGTCTGTCCGAACTTTTTGCAACTCTCTATACTACTACTTTACATGCGTTACCTCTAGAATCCCTATCATTCCGCTCGAATAGTCCCGCAGTGGCATTCCTATCATACAAACCATAGCAGATTTTATACATTTCTATCATTGTCCCTCCTTTCCTTCTGTATTCCAGCGATGATAGATTCAGTTCTTTAAGGCGTTCGTAATAGGATAGATTTTTCATACCATTAACTAGACGCGTCGCTCTTCTTTGTACGTTTTCTAAGATCTTTTGATGCTTGATCAGTCTTGGGTGCCAGACTAAGTTCGCAAATTCAAGGTGTGGCCGTATCAAGCATTTGTAGATGTTTTAAAATACTTGTTTCGTGACTTTAGTGAAGCTTTTCTTAATTACTGCTATCATGCCGTTTGCCTTATTGGCTTTTTTAGTGACGTGTGTTTCGAAGGTCAGTTTGTTGTCAAGCCAGATACCCAGTTCTTTTTCGAGTTGCATTTCTTTAATGATTTCGCCATTGACTTTACAAATCCTCTGCATATCCAATTTCTTGTTTCCTATTGTCATGTGAACACGTTTGTCGATATTAAAGGACAAAAGACTTTGGCCTGACCAAATTTCTAGTGATTGTAAATCTTCATGTAAGCGTGTTACATCCAATGTATCTTCAATTTGACGGTATAATTTCGCATCGTCAGCAAACAGATATATTTTTGACGCTATTATGTCCGGCATTGTGTTGATGTATATCAAAAACAGTACTGGGCCGAGTACTGAACCCTGGGGTATCGCACTTTTTACTGGCTGCCATGAGGATCTTGAATCGTTGATTACCACTCTCTGTTGTCGTCCCGAAAGAAAGTCTGTTATCCAGTCCAAGGTTCTTCCAGTTACTCCATACTGTCTAAGAACTCCGATTAGTCTTTTGTGTGGTACCGAATCGAAGGCTTTTTTGAAGTCCAAGTATATCACATCGACATTTTCTTGTTTGTCCATTGCCCTGGTGAAGTCATCAATTACTTTCAGGAGTTGTAAGTTTAGTGAACGTCCAGATCGAAAACCGTATTGTGCATTTGTTAATAGCCCTTTTTCATTGAAAATGATCCGTTAAATGCTTTCGAACAAACTTTTCGAATAACTTGCAACATATTGATATTAAACTGATTGGTCTGTAGTTATCTGCCATCGGTTTTTTTACTTTTTTTAATATTGCAGAAGTGTTAGCCAATTTCCAGTCTTCGGGTAATTTGTTTGTCTCCCAAGAGGTTTGGAAAATAATCAAAAGTGGTTTTAAGATG